GAGAGCAACCGCTGCTTTTGTAGGTGTGTGTGGTTGTAGGCCGCATTTCCTTTCGCTCCATCAAGAAGAACAGAGACTACATGCAACACAGAACTCACTGTAGCTGGCATTACCTCGCGCACTTAGCAGCTGCTCGAGAGTTTGCGTACCTCAAGGCCCTTCACTCTCATGGCTTTCCCGTTCCTGAACCCGTCGACACCAACCGGCATGCAGTACTGATGGAGTACATCGATGCAATTCCGCTGACTCAGGTTTGTATGCGAATATACACCCGCAACTAATGCAGATTGTAGGGGCTTCGAGGTAGCGATGACTACAGAGGAGTACGAAACCAAACAGGCTCAGAGTATGCTGCTCCTGCAGCGGGTTCCTCTCTAGACTGGAGGGGAGTCTCTCTGTTTCATCGCTGCAGTTAATCTCTGTCTCTGTCACTGTCTGCGAACAGGTAAGGGAATTGAAAGATCCGCTGACAGTGCTGGAGAAGCTGATGAAACTCATCGTGCGCCTCGCCCACTGCGGCCTTATTCACGGGGACTTCAACGAATTTAACCTGATGATCAGCGACAAAGGACACATCACCATGATCGGTAAGGCCAAGAGCTGCCTCAAGTTCATGAAAATAATGAAGAAACTCAAAAATTCCCTAAGAAATACAGAAGATCGCACTGCATGCCTTTGCGTGGGTTTCAATGTGCACCTTCATGTGTTAGCGCGCTTATTTGCTTTCATATTCCGTTGTTCCTTGTTGTTGTTTGCTTCGGGTTTCGACAGATCTTCCGCAGATGGTGTCTATTTATCATCCAAATGCCGCTCTTTACTTCGATCGCGATGTTCAATGCATCAAGCGACTTTTTGAAAGAAAGTTTCTGGTGGACGTCACAGCGGTACCCCAGTGAGTGAAGAGGCCATCCATACAAGTTCAAGGATGAAGTTTAATTCCTTCTCAGTCTGTTCCCGTAGAAAGCCTATTGCTTGTATTTCTTGAATTGCATCTGCAGGAGTATTTCAGTTGTTCATTCCCTCTGTTGTTTGCAGGTTCGAGGACGTCGTGGGTCGCCGCTGCAGGCCGCCTGAGGCGAAGCGGGCTGATGGACCAGAAGAAGAAGAAGCAGAACATCCTGCTGAGTTGATTGCAGTCGCTGACGGCCTCAATGAACAGCAATCAAAACTCCTTGAAAACGCTCTGGCTGCGCGACGAGAGGCAGAGAGTGACAGTCAGTACAGCACGGACTCAGAGGAAAGCGATGCAGAGAGCGGCAGCGAGGGATCGGGCACTGAGGGTTCTCCTGATGAAGAAAGAGAAACAGAAAAGCAAGGATCAGAAGAAGCAACAAAAGAAGAAGAAAGTTCTCTTAAACGAGAAACCGAATACACTACACATTCCGATGATGGCCACCAACAACCGCAGAGCAGTTCCTCAAACAGCAGTACGCACTTATCTGTTCTGCTCGGAAAACCTTTTATTTGTTTTGTCTTTGTACTCCATGCTGACTCTGCATCCGCATGGCATAGTTTGTCTAGGAGTTATCGCTGGTTGTCTTTCAGAGATGTTTGAATTGCTTTCGTTGTTTATGTTTTCTTCCCAGCCGTTAATCAGCAGGCGATTCGTTGTCGTTGCAGCAGCAGTTGAAACAACTCAAACTTCTCTTCCTACGATGGGTTGCGGCTGTGCAGGCTCAGAGGAAGAAGAGGAGGAGCCCAGTAAGCCTCTACCACCAGACGAGCAGCAGGCGTTGATTCACTGTTGGCGTCCAACTGCGCGAAGGTGCGTTTCTGGTAGATGCTTCAGCAGCAGCAGCAGCTGCTGCTGCTGCTGCAGAGGATAAGCAGCAACACCTGAGCAGCAGCAGCTGCTGCTACTGTTGCGGCTGTAGAGTACGGAAGCAGCACCTCAGCAGCAGCAGGTATATATTCCTGGTGTCTTTTTTTGTGCTTCTTTTGCAGACACACCCGCGACACCGTACGCAAAAGAGTGCAGCAGCAAAATCAGAAGAAGAAAAGCAAAGGGAACTTCGGAAGCAACAAAAACGCGGAGGGGATTCGGGCTCGTCAGCTAACGAAGTTTGATTGCTAAATTAGAGAAGTACAACAACAAATAAAAACGAAAAGAACAAACTAAAACAACAACAACGCATCACATATCTCAGCATTATTATGAATGTTATGCGGCATTGCAACTCCAGAGGCGCCTCTCCCGCTACACAGCGAGCTTCCTTCTTTATTATCACTTAAAAGGTTTATTGGTATTACTGTATTGCTGGCCTAAGAGCAGAAAACAGTGCGAAAGGGGCCCAGGTGTACGTACACCTGGCGACAGCCCTGCAGCCTATAGCCCGAATACTATTCTTTTGAAGTTTACTTCTGTTTTTTTTTAATCTTAAGCTATCAATGACGGAAGAAGTGCAGGCGTTATAAATGGAGGGAACAGCGCAGAACGGAATATACCGTTCAGTGCTAAGATGACAATTCTTTTAATGAATGTTCTTGAATGGTGATACACAGCCTGCCCGGTGTATGTACAGTACTTCTTCTGGTGGAGTGTAGGCTGTGCCTCCCTACTTCTGCTCTCTTTGCATTCAAATGCAGCAAAAACAACAGCGGTGAACGACGCAGAAAGACAATGCTGCAAACACACCGCTACGGCCTCCTCCGCCGCCTTGGATAACTGATAACTGGCTAGCTAAGTTTAGCTAGCTGGGCTCAGCTAGCTGGACTTAGCTAGCTGGGCCTATCTAGCTAGCCACTGGCGGCGGGGGTGGTCTCCCGGGTGGAGGAAGGGATGTTTTGTTCAAAGAGACATTATAAAGATATAATTAAAAGTACAAACAAACTGTGTTTTATTTTTAAATCTAAAAAGATTTAATTGCAAATGTTTGTTGCACCTGATGTATACGTACTCCGTTTGTGGAGTCCTGCAGCTAAGGCACAAAGAAGGCAAAGAGAGTGCCTCGTCGCTGTAGAGCAGCTATCGCGTATGCATGCAGATAGAGAGGATTTTGTTATATATTTGTATGCTGCGTTAGCTTGCAAGCAGCAAGTTCTGCTGCATGCATTTTAAAGCAGATTCTGCTGCTGCTGCACTTCTACTACTATCAGAAAAATTTGTGGACATGTTTGAATAAAGAAAGCCCAGCGTGAGCAGCAGCAACGCAACCTAAACAAAAGAATTTAAAAATATATTCCTAAAAAGAAGCTGCTTGTATATTATCCTCCCCCGTATTCATACGCTTAGAGTTCAGAGAGCTAAAGATAAAGAAGTATTGATTGCGATTGCCTTTAAGGCCGGCCACCATAAATGCAATTGCAATCCGTGCCTCTTTTTCTCAATGCACGAACACCGTAGGCAATCGTTATATTTCTGCTTGAGTTCAGGATGCCCTTTAGAGCTAAGAAAGTACTTATTCTCTTATATACAAAGGGAATACACAACTCCGAGACTAGCCCGCTCTCACAACCGGGCATAGACCTCTGTTAACAGACATCCGTGCCTCTGTGAAGATGTACGGGTGTTGACTGAATAGAAGGATAAGTATGCTTCTTAAGAATTGAATTTGTTTGAAAGAACATCGTCAATATAGCCCCAGCTAGCTGCACTCAACAGTTCTGACCAATGACTCGCGTTATAAGCTCGCTAGACAGCGCCTTACTGGTGTGCGGGGGCCCCTCTCCTCTGCAAGAAAATTGCAATGAGTAAAAATCATGTGGAGCTTTAAAATCTTCTTGTTCGCTCGTGTCTACTGCATAGTAGAGGCCTCCATCCAGGCGTACGTGCACCTGTCGAAGACGCGTTGCGCGACAGTAGCCATGCAACCGCTTCAGTTGGAGGCCTTCTGAGAAGAACGGCCCTTTAAGATTAATGGAGGCATTAGTAAGCATCGTAATATACAGTCTCGAGCTAAAAATGTACATCTAGGCAGGTACTATGATGGACCCGGCCGGTAGCGTCCTTGACTGAGCCTGCGACAGCCTAATGCTGAGTTCGCCTCCCTCGTCGGGGCCGTTCTAAGGAGAGTGCTGCTTATAATTGAGTAATAGAAGAAAATTCTCATAAATATTGAACGAAAAAGCAAAATAAAACTGCATTAGATAAGTCAGATCGCTAGATCTCGACAGCATCGCTGCCCGTCCCGGCTGTAGAGCCATGCCTTTTCCCCCCACCGACAAGGGGTTTGTATGGAGTAAGAAAGGGAGAAAAAGTTGTGCGTTTGTTTGTGGGTATGTTTTTTAAATAGATAGGGAAAGTTATTTGAGGAGAATTTAATTAGAAAGCATGGTAAAAAAAGCATTTTTCTTTGAACAATATTTCGTAGACTCGCCCTTCTCAGCACCGCGGCTTTCTGCACCGCCAGCGCTGCGCGTCGCTCCCTTCCTCCGTCGCTGCTGGCTACGCCTGCTCTCTGGGGCGTTGTTTAGGCACGAGATTGGTGAATCACTTGAGTATTTACGAGTTTTCTTGTTTGATTGTGCGTTCATTTACTTGCAAACAACCTTGAAAATGAAGGGAACATTTATTGCTTTGGCTTTTGGAGCCTTCGCTGCTCTTCATGCAGCGGGGGAGGAGGAGAGAACTGCGCCGCTTCCGAAGGGATTGGGAAAGAAGCGCCCGCCGACTCCAGAGGGTGAGTCTTCTCTTTTTATTGTCTTCGTTCTGTCTCTGTTTATGCAACTGGTTTAGTTGGGAAGCGAAACGGACAAAACGCAGACCTTGCCTGGAGCAGCAAGTCTGTTGACGTCATTGGGGCGCAGCAGAGGGGCGGCAGCATCCTCACTAATATGCCCTCTCTCTCGTCGCTTTGCTGTTGTTGTTCACTGCAGTTTGTACTGAAGCTTGTGGTTTTTTCTTGGGTAGATGTTTTAGAGGGGCTTTTTGCTTTTGTTTACCTGTGTTCGTTTCGCTGCCTCTGTAGAGGTGCGTTTCAGTATTCTACGGTGGAATGTACATGAGTATCTTCATATCTGCTGTTATTGCGTCTTCTTACAGAACTCAGCGCCATTTTCGGCAGCGATGGAGGAAAGATCGACTGGACTAACTTCTCTCCTGAGGCCTTGGGCATGCAACTGAACTACGATGAGATGAGCACGGAGGAGCTTGAGAAGGTTATAGACGCGTTTGTGCGTCTTGGGTTGATCTCTCCTGAGGAGAAGGAATCGTTCGGCGCTTCTCTCGTTGACCCCTCGATGCGAAGCATGCTTCAGACAGTTCAGGAAAACTGGGGCGAGACCATGGAAAAGGTTATGAAGGATCCTGAGTACTTGAATTTCCTCAAGGGATTCCAGAATAACATCGATGAGAATGCATTGGCTACAATTGTGGGGTTGAAGGGTGGTCTTGGTGGCGCTATTAATGGCCGGGACATTACTGGCAAGCCGGCAAGTGGAGAGGAGGAACAGTAAATCAACAACGAGAACACCCAATTCATAGGAAGAGAGCGCGCTTCCCACGAAGCGTGTTATTATTGTAATTCTCCATATTATTCGGTTGTTTATGTACATAACCATAATCACGAGCGAGGACCCGTTTTTCTCAGATGTGTTTTGGGGCTGAAGAATTAATGGGGTTTCTTTTATGTAGCGGCTTTCAAGCTGATATATAAAGGAAAGCCTACACGAGCACCTTCGCCTCCCCGATCATAAGACAACAACTTGTCATCTTCTCACGCGACGAGAGGGCTTCCAATTTCAGTTTCAAGGCCA